AGGAGGTAGGTGTATCAGAGACAGTGAGATTGGCATAGGATAGGGCAGGGTTAATGCTGTTGTACATAGGGTCACTATGAGTCACAGGTGACTCAACAGCACATAACAGCAGCAACAACAATACAGAATAACACACAAAAGGATAAGATTCAGATATGTTGTTCATAGGGTCACAATGAGTGGTACTCTATGTGACAGCACCTAACAGCTACAACAATAGTAATTCATACACAGAAACCCAATAATCTTCACTATGAGACAAACAAGCAACCTCATGACAAATAGTGAAAACCTTGGAATTATCAATGATTTACTTCTTATTTGGATCCACAATCAATAACATTTGCACTGTCAGTCAAGAAATTGGAAGACTTATTGCATTGACCAAGACCAAGACATTCCTCTAGGTCATATAGCCCTGGTGTACAAGTTGCCATCCTGCGGTCACTTGTGGTTGTTGTGAGGCTGAACACTGCGATACGGATGTGTCAAATGTATTAATGGTTGGTTACCCAATGTGGACAGAGAGTGGGGTGGAGCTCCCTGATTAAAACAAGCGTGGAAGGAGGAGTGGCATCCACTTCCACAATAGCTTGCCTCTGGAAACCCTATGTACCTGGAGAGAAGATGAAAGGCACCCAAGCGTTGAGGACTCTCCTTCATAGGGTTGCTATGAGTTGCCTGTGACTCGATGGCACTTAACAACAACAACAACAACAACAATATTGCATTGGGAAAAGCTACTTTCAAGATCTCTTTAAAGTGGTAAAGACAAAAATATCAGTTTGAAGATTAAGGTGTAACTTATTTTTTCAGTTACTTGCTATGCATCTGAAAGATGAACAATAAGAATGGTAGAAGAAGAGCATTTGCCTATGGGCTAGAGTTTTGGAGAAGAGTACCAAACAAGCCATAGATGGCCAAAAGAACAAACAGATATGTCTTGGAGAAAGTGCAACCAAGGTGATCCTTAGAGGCAATGGTGGTGAAACTCAGTGTCACACACTTGAAGATGGATTGACATAGTAACTGCAACAAATATATCAGAGATGATGATGATTCCGATCTACTGTTCATGGGTTGCTAAGAGTCATAGAAAACTCAGTGACACATTTCAACAACAACAATATTCACAAATAATTATGTATTCATTTCAAATGTTGAAAATTTTCTCTTTCTCAGTTTAACTAAAGCCTCATTATAAAATATCTAACTCAGCCCACTTTAGTCCTGTGATTCCAACTCCTGATGATCAGCCATCAGGAAAATAATATGGTTATATACTTTTATTTTCATTGTCATTTAAGACTAAATAAATCCTACAAAAAGGATGTGACATCAGTGTTAGAGGAAGACTTATCAACAACTTGTGTTATGCAGATAATACAAGTTGTTTCAGCAAGTTGAATATGAGAAGGGCTTACTATACTTGCTATAGAAGATCAAAGACCACAGTCTTCAACATGCGTTATATCTCAACATCAGGAAGACAAAAATCCTCACCCGTGGGCTGACAGGCAACATTATGAGAGGTGGAGAAAAGATATATATTGTCGAAAACTTCACCTCTCTTAGACCAAAAATCTTGGTATCAGCAGTCAGTAAAGAAAAGTTGTATTATATTGGAAAGTTTATTGTTAAAGACTTTTCCAAAGAGAGCAAACATGCCAGTTTGAAGACTAAGTTGTGCCTGATCCAAGCCATGGCCTTTTTGATTACTTGCTACACAACTGAAGGTTGGACAATGAGCAAGGATGACAGACAAACTGATGCTTTTGGGTTGTGGTATGGGAGAAGAGTAAATAGTATTCCAAAGATTGACAAAATAACAAACAAATATGTCTTGGAAAAAATGCAATTAGAGTGCTCCTAAGAGGCAAGGACGACGAAGCTTTATTTAACCTACTTCAGACATATTGTTAGGAAGGTCTAGTCCTCGAAAAAAGACATCATGTTTTCAAATATAGAGAGTCAGTAAATGAGAGGAAGATGCTCAGTGAAATGGATTGACACAGTACTGTAACAGTGTGCTCAAATATGCCAGAGATGATGAGGATGGCACAAGATAGGAAAAGGTCCAGATCCATTTTTCAGAGGGTTGCTATGAGTCATATTCAGCACCTAACAATACCTAACAATAACAAAATAAGTCTAAGAAACTGTTTTGATGTATGATGCCTAGAGATGTAGATATAATTTAGACTCTGGCTTTCCCCCCTCATTACTTTCTAATCATTTCAATGCTTCACTCTTCATAAAGACTCATGCCATTTGTATTACTTATCAAAGAAAAATATTTCATTTTAAAAGATCTTAAGTGCTTCTGATAAGCAAAGCAACAGTATTTTTGGACTATACTACTGCTTTGGAGAGTTTTAAAAACATGATACTTTAGCAGTTGTACTATTAATTCAAAGGCCATGTTCTTCTCGTGGCTCAAATTGACCAGTTGCTCTTCAGGAGAAAGGTGGGCAGTCTCTTCCTGTGTGATTTACAGCTACAGAAAGTCAGTGGAAGTTCAGCTGTGAGAACTTCATGGCTGACCAACAGCGAGAGAGACAGAGACACACACCCAGAAGGATGGATAGATAGATAGATGATAGATAGATAGATAGACAGATAGAAAGAGAGAGACAGTGAGAGAAAGGAAGATTGATATTTTAGGTTTATTCTTAATTTTCAAATCATTTCTCTTCCAATGGCACTTAATAGGGATGACTTTTAAGTATATATTTTAGTGATCTAAATATGTATTAACCAACTGTAGCTAAGAGTATCCTCAAATTATTTATCTGTTACTATTGTTCATATTATTCTATATTATCTATGTACTTAAGATATGCATAAAACATGATATTAATGTATTTCATTATGTACAATATGTGGACATTTCACTGTTATGAATTTTATGTCAGAAGAAAAATATATTAAATCCCAAGTATTATGTGTTGAGAGAAGAATTTAGGGAGAAATGTCTGAATTTTATCTTAAAATGCACACAAAGTATAGATGTATTAATGAATGCATAGAAAGACAAATATATGTATATGTATATGTATATGTATATGTATATGTATATGTATATGTATGTGATAAGGAACTAGAAAGGAAATTAATGGTAGACCATAGATATGGGGGCCAAGCGCTTATTGTAAAATTCATTCACTTCTCATATATTTAAAATTTTTAACAATAAATTCTTGGGGCACAGGTATGACTTTTTATTTCATGTGACTTTGATTTAACTACTAGAATTAGTCAAAATAAGAACAGAAAAATATTTCTGGGATCTTTTAGGTGCTGTTGAGTTGATTACAACCTTATCAATAACAAGATTAAAACTTTGACCTGTCATGTATTATCCTTGCAGTCTCTGCCATGCCAACCCCTTTGTTGTAATTACTATGTCATCTGTCTTTTTGAGGGACTTCTTCTCTTTCCTTGACTCTCTACTTTTCCAAACACAGTGTATTTTTTCAAGGACTGACACATGGAAGCTATACCATTAGTACTTCAAATGCAAGAAATATTACCAAGAGTAACCACGTTTCAGTGGAATTTCTAGAGTAAGACAGATTTAAAAAGCAGGCATATACATTCACTTCTGAAATAACAGCTTCTATGGGTGGGAGTGGAACACTCTTTGAGTAGAATATTTTAAGAATGGAAATTCTAGAACACTTGATTTTGTTTATGTGAAACCTATACTTGGACCAGGAGGCAGTTATCAGACAGAGCAAAGAAACATTGCATGGTTCAAAATTGGGAAGGATGTGCACCAAGGATGTGTCTATCTCCATATCTTTTCAACCTCTATATGGAACAGATTATCCCCAGGAGGCTGGGCTCTATGAGGAGAAATGTGTCATCAGGATTAGAGGTAGACTCACCAACAATCTGTGTTATGCAGATGGCACAGCCCTGCTTGCTGAAACTGAGAAGGACCTGAAGCTCTTGAAGAAGGTCAAGGACTACAGCCTTCAATATGGATTAAAGCTCAACATCAAGAAAACAAAGATTCTTCCCACTGGGCTGATTGGGAGCATCATGATAGATGGTGAAGAAATTAAGATTATTGACAGCTTCAGTTTGCTTGTCTCTACAAGTAACAGTCTTAGACACTCTTGGTACCAGCAGCCAGTAAATTAAAAGGTTAATTACATTGGAAAAGTCCACTGTCAGATACCTCTCCAAAGTACTGAAGAGTAACTATGTCAGTCTAGAGACTAAGGTGCGTCAGATACAAGCCATTGTCTTTACAATTACTTGCTATGTATCAGAGAGCTGGACGATGACTAGGGATGAAAGAAGAATTGATGCCTTTGAGCTGTGATGTTGGAGAAGAGTGTTGAATATACCGTGGACTGCTTGGAGAACAAGCAAGTTCTTCCTGGAGAGGGTAAAGCCAGAAAGCTCCTTGGAGGCAAGGATTCTGAAGTATCACCTGACATACATTGGACATGTTGCAAGGTGGGACCAGTCCTTGGAGAGGAATGTCATGCTTGAGAGGGTGGAGGGACAGCACAGGATAGGATGACTCTCAAAGAGACGGATTGATTCTGTGACTGGGGTAATGAGGGTAAGTGTATCAGAGACAATAAGATTGGCACAAGATAGAGCAGGTTTTAGAGCTGTTTTACATGGGGTCAATAAGAGTAGCAGGAGATGGATGACACAAAACAGCAATAGTAACATAACACAGATAAGATAGCGCAATGCCATTAAGTTGATTCTGATTTATAACCATCCTATTGGACAGAATCCTTGGGATCACTAAGCCTGTAAATCTTAACAACAGGAGATTGCTTCATCTTTCTCCCCAGGAAGACCAGATGAGTTTGAATAAGTAGCATGTTGTTTGGCAGCCAAATGCCTTATTCACAGTACCACCAAAGCTCCTTCATAAAATAAATTCAATTCAAACAAGGAAGTATGGATTGATGCAGACAACACATTTTTCATATTGGAAAAGCTTAATTTCAGTATCACACTGCACATACCTTCACATGTTGGCAAAGAGCCTTCAAACTGCAACTGAGAACTTAACTTGCAGGTCAGCGTGTCTGTCCCTGATAATGTGTACCCCGGGTGGCACTGGTACTTCACAAAATCTCCTAAGAGTCAAGACAATATTGTTGTAAAACTTTGTTTCCAGAATTTCCTTAACACACAAATGAAGTACTTAATCTATCAAATATCTATCATTTCCATGTATAAACCATAACAGAAACAATGATACAATGATTGTATTTAGTTTTAGTTTAATAGAGTATAATTCTTTTTAATTCTTCATTTATTAAAAAGCTACCTTTAATTTAATATACGTAAAGCTCTATAGTTCAAAAGGTATTATGTATTCTTTCCTTCCTTGCCTATGTTCATTTCAATTCGACTATGAATACAAAAGAAAGAGGAGTGAGGAAGTAGATGTTTTACTTTTAAGATTATAGAATGTAATGGCCTTAAGTATCCACAGAGAGGGCTAGTCCCTGACCTTGATCTAATTAGCACAATCCTTCAAATAACGAAGCCATTACAAGTATAGCACAAATTGGGCCATATGGTTTGACCAATGATCTGACACATGGTCTAACAACTGTATAAAGTATTTTTAATTGGAACTAAGAAATTCTAGGTCACTATAATTATACTGCAAACATATGCTATGAATGCTTTCTTAATATGACCTGATGATTATTTAATGAATTAGATCATTAACATATAATGATAAAGTACATTTTCTAACTGGTATCATTAAATATATTCTATCAATTATATTCTTGTATCAATAAAAGGTCAATGCTATATTATTCATTATTTTAGTTACAAATGATTAGCTTCTTCCTCAAGTGCATGAACATGCTCCCCTAACACAAATATTTGTTCATGTCTGCTTCTAAAACTTTATTCTAAAGATCAATATTTCTCACTTACTCCACCCCACCCAACATTGCGGGGGTGGGGTGGGGAACCAAAACAAAACCCCACATCACAACAACTAAATCTTCTGTCTTCAAGGATTCCAACTGATGAAATAAGCTAAATAAAGCTTTCCTATAAAGTTCCTAAGGTTGTAAATCTTTTCAGAAGCAAGTTTCTCCATTTTCCCTGTACCTTTTGGTAAGTTTGAATCACTGCACTGTTGGTTAGTGGATCAAGTGTTAAATCAATGTGCCTCTAGGGTTTATTATAAAAGATTAATAGTAGCTAGAAATATTCTGAAAGGTAAGGCATTCAAAATGAACTAGGATAATTAAAATGGAAAATAAACACCATAGGGATATGATTAAAAGTATATGTCATATGTACATCCATATATATATTATTTTCTACTAGTTTATTTACAAAATTTGAATATAAATTCAAACAAATTCTTTCTATATCCCTCATTCCAATGTTTAGATGTAAGTTCCCTGTCATGTTTTTAGAATATTTTCCCCCTACCAAGTTACTCATTTTCTAGTCTGACCAACTATTTCACCTGAACACGGGAGTAAAAAAAAAAAAAAAAGTTGAAATAATGGTATTGTAATAAAGATAATATTACCTATTTCAAATTCCTCATCCTCAGTTACTATTTCTGCCAATGGCACAGATGGAGGAGGCTGACATTTCTTGAGCTGAAATGCTAAATGGTATACCGGGGGGAAAAAAGTAAAATTACAATTACATTTGTTAAACAGCACTACAAAAAGCTTTCCTATTGAAATTATAATTACCAAATATGCTGAGATGTCTATGTTTGGGTGGAGTTTTTTTTTTCCAAAATTATCACTATTTTTTTAAAGTACAACAAAAAATTACAAAATAGCTAATAGTATCTAAAAAAGCAAATTTCCACAAATTTACTTAATGTCATAAAAAAAGTGAAATCCAATGGGAAAACAGTACATAATGTTTCAGAAATTATTGCATTTGCATAAAAAACTCTTCAAATATGTTTAAATTCTGAAGTTATTAAATATGTTTATCATTCTGAGCCTTCAACAGTTCAAACATGGTCTATGTCTGTATTATATTTAATTTAATATCTTATTCTGTCTCTTGTCCTGAAACAAATTTTATTGAAAGATAAATAAGAAATAGATAAACAGACAGTTAGGTAGATAGATAGATGGTTGGTGTTGTATACTGTAAAATCAGAACCTATTCATAGCTGACCCTCCCAGCAGTGTTCAGAGGAAGCCAAGTCACAAGGGAGGAGATTGTCCACCCTTCTCTCATGGATAGATGAGCAGGGAAATGGATAGATAGATAGTCATATCTTGTTAGAGTTCATTCTAGTTTATCCAAGAGAGTTTTGCTTTCATTTTTACTATAATTATACAACACTTGGTAAAGTTTCCCATTTGGAAACACATATGAGGTGTTTTTCAAGAAAAAAAAAACACCAAATGCATCAATGGTTTTCTCATATGAAAGTTGTACTACATTATATTATCCTAGAATGAATACACATTTACTAAAAAGAATACTACTTGATGAGAAAGCGTTTGATATAACAAAAACATTAAATAAAAATGTTGCAGAAGCACCTTACATCAGTTACAGGAAAATCTTGAGAGTAGATGAAATAAGGTACAGAACAACACAACAAGAAGAACCAGTGAGTTTCCCATCCAGGTAGGGAAGTGAATATAAACTAACCATGAAAATTGAGAACAAAGAAACCTCCATTTGAGAAGTCACTGTGAAATTTGAGCAGGACTTGATTGGTTGAGCTATAAGCTGTTTCAAGGGCTGTATTCCCACTGAACACTCCTAGTTGAGGGGAGTTCTGGTCAGGACCGTCCCTAGAAAAGAAAGAAAGAGAACTCTGAGTGGAAGTCCATTGAGTAATAGCTAAATTGTTGGTCCATTTCCCCCTAACAGTGGTGCCACATCTTAGTAAAAGCAAGGTTATAGAACTGGCATTCAAAATGTGAAAGTTGACCGGTTTCTTCCCTTAGTTCCAAGGCTGAACTTCTCAAAGGAATTTTAGAAACATGCTCACATTCATTTTAGTGACTGCAATATCATTTTTCAGCTTCCTTTTAAAATTCCACACTTGAAAGTCTAAATGCAATGGTACATATTTAATTGTGAGATTTCTAGAATTTTTATACTACACTAAAAATTTTCAAAAACTGAGTAAAATATATTATCTACCGGATAATGGACTGAAAAGTGTCATGATGTTTGATATCCATAAAGTTGAAATAACTTTTCAGACTTCCTTCCATGTATGTACTGACAATAGCCACTCCACATGTTATGTCAAGATCTTTTCTTCCATTTTACAAATATATAGACCAACCCTTGTAAATTTTTAGTATTATATAGTTGATGTTCTGTTTTTTAATTGACAATTTCATGTGGTTGTCATAACATTTCAAATTCTCATAGTTATTATCTCATATAATCACTATCACTTTCTAAGATTCACTTCTGTATCTTCAAAATGCTGGGTTTTTTCTTACCTCATGTAATATATTTCTCACAAAATGAATTGGATTATTCTATAAACCAGAACCTGATTTTCTAAATACTTTGCTTAAAATCCATACTTGGATTGCCATCGTTCTTCGGATAAAACCCTAGACACAGCATAATTCATAAGACTGTTTTTTGGTCATCTCTTTTTCAGGGACCCTAGCAAGAATTCAGCTATATCATACACTATATCCTCTCATTCCTTGACATCTAATAGCCTATTGTCTTAAAGCCTTTTCAATGATATTATCCCCTTCAATTTTCACAGTGAAGGCTGAGAAGAATACTTGAAGTCTTTCACAGTGAAAACTGAGAAGTGTATCTTCCTCACATCTGGTTCATATGTTCCTCCCAAGGTCACACTAGTAATATGAAAGTGATATCACAGGAGTATTGTCATTACTTAAAAGTTTCCATAAATGCTAACCTCCAAAAGCAAAGCAGCAATAGAATTTACCTAAATAAGAACATTTTAGTCAAATGCTGTTTAAAGATCTTAACCACAGCCACAAAATGGGTTAGAAATTTAAAGGAAAAATCTCACTTCTAGTAATTAGCAAAGTATAAATCCATACATATTGTTGGGAAGAGCAATTCTTAATGTTTATAAGAGATGGAGAAAATGATAAATGTAGATAGTCTCTTCTTTTTTTTTCCTATTTCTAGAAGAGTCATACACATGTAAGAAGAAAACCCTAATTTTTTTTTCTTTAAGGAAAAGAAAAATCACACTTAAAAGTGTAAAATAAAATAATCATGGAATATTTTTATTAATCATCAATATGTGGTTACTAGTGTTGTTGTTATTTACCATCGAGTTGGGACCAACTCATTGTTAACCTTCCAGCAGATTTTCAGTTCAGTAAATCAAGTTGATGCAAACTCACAGCAACTATATGTAACAGCATAGAGTTTGTTAAGGATTTCGTTTTTACAGAAGGTGAAAGCCAAATCTTTCTCTCTCAGAACTATTGGGTGGTGTGAATAACATATCTTGAGGTTATATATTGAGCACTTAACCATTGTGTGACTTGAGGATTTTAAGGATAAATCTTCCCTGCAGCAAAACTCAAATATGTTTGGTGAAATTTATTCTCTGAACCTTCATATTTAGTAAATATATTTTCCAAAAATATCTTACCATTTAGTTTCCAAATATACAAGTTGAAATATAAGTGACGTATAAATGACAAGTAAGAATAGTTTAAAACCGTTATAGATTGTTTTCACTTGAAAGATTCACATACCAAACAGCAATGTAGTCATTAACAGCTTCAGTCTGTAGTAAAGTGAAATTGATGTAAACTCCATGACCCTGAGGCACAGTGATAAGCCAAATGCAGTCTTTCAAAATTGGATATTCATCTGGAAATCCAGGGGAATAAATGGTGCCATTCTGAGATGTGACATTATATCCACAAGGAGCTAAGAAAGGAAATAAAGAAGAATCAAGACCAATAAAAATATGTTTTAAAAGGATATGGTTAATGTTTCTAAATCTCTAAACTTCTCTATACCCAAACTTTCCAGTTATAATAAATAATTGGGAAAAATTCTAATATATCAAAACTATTCCCCAGAACTTATGAAACTTTATAAGAATTAAATTGTTAATCTAGATAATCTAAATTCCATTTGATATGTTGTTAAGTGCCACCAAGTTGACTATGACTCATAGTGAGCCTATGAACAACAGATTTGAATTTTGCTCTATCTAGGGCCATTGTCATAACTGATAGGCCCAAGTCCACTGTTACTCTCATTGTGTCAGTTCCTCTTATCGAGAGCTATCCTCTCTTTTGATGAATTTTCCAAATGTGATGTCTTTGTCTTAACTGGCCCTTCCTAACAACACACCCAAGTATGTGAGATGAAGTTTCACTATCCTTACCTCCAAACCCTGGCTCTACCTTTTCTAAGCCATGTTTATTTGTCCTTATGGCAGTCCACGGGATATTCAGCAATCCAAATATTTAAAAATCCCTTTATGATAGTGATTTTCATATGAATAAAATAAAACACAAAGCAAAAAATAACTATGATGATAATCTGTAACTTAATGGACTTTTTAATGTAGGTCAGTCAGATGCAATAAATATTGTGGAAAGCACACACAAATGTATAACTGGATATATTCTCATTTTAGACCACATTTCTAGAATCTATACAAGCTAACAAAAAATAGTGTTTAAATCTAACTAATTTGAAGCCAATTTACTTCCATATGTAAAATAAGGTAGTATTACTGGAATAATGTGGGTTTTTTTCTGAAGCCTTTCAGTATTTTAGGAGCTTTCTACTATGTGGATATTATATTAATGAAAATATACAATCAGTCTATCAGTATTTTTCAGTACTTTCAGAGCATCTTTTGCCATGGGACTTATTTCATTTATGTATAAACAATATGGTCATTTATTAGTAGAAAAACATATGATCTAATCCTTAATTAAGGTAATAGTATAGTGTATCAGAGTTGAAGGCACATGTCTGTAGCTCTTGTGTTTCAAGAGGTGATTTGGCTTGATTTAGCTAAAGGTCATTGATTTTGCTCACAGCCATGTGTGAGCTGTTGGGATTGGAGGGTTCTGAGCTATGGGCCAGGAGCCTCTTGCAGGAGACAGTCAAGAGTGAGTGTGCTGGCCTGGGATTTTGTGGGTGTGTGTGTTTGTTTTGTTTTGTTTCAAATCTATTTGGGACTGAGTCTTCAGTTGATTAGAAGCAGAAGTGGCATCTATTTCTTAAACAGAATACCTCCAGAAACTCTATGAACTTTGATAAATGCTGATAGTTGTAGAAAGGCTTCTGGCCTTTTGTTTTTAGGGTAACTGTGAGTCTTGTTCAACTTAAAGACAATCAACAACAACATCAACATGATGTATCAAAGTCATAGACAAACAGGCTTTATAAACCAAATCAAAAGCCAACATATGTTGTATTCTGGGGTATTCAAAGATTTGTTGTAAAATATGTACAATTTAGGTAAGGTATATTCCATATTAAAAAAATGGTTGAAAAAAATCTAAACCACCAGCAGCACTTAATAATACTTTTAAAAAGAGGTTTCATGAAACAACATCTCACAGCAATTGATATATTGTAAATCAAATGCACCAACAGGGTGATTTCAAAGAAATTTTTTAAAAAGGTATCAGTGTAAAATAGATTGAAACTTCCTGAGTCTGAGATAAATTCAATAGTAGTGACCAGGGGGAACTGTGGTTGTATACAGTCTCATATAAACAAGTAGGAGTCTGACAAACTCAGATTTGCAGCCCCGTAAAGCAAATAATTATTTGAAGAAGATTTCAAGCTTTCAAGTTACAGGAAGTCATTGAATAGAACATATTCATACTTAAAAATGGGGTCAAATATTATACTGTACTGTAGTCACAACAAAGAAAGAGTCTTTGCTGCAAATGATTAACATACTTAGGCACTAAACTAAAGGTTGGAAATTCAACCCACCTAGAGATGCTTCAGAAGGAAGATCACTATAGTGAACATTTTTTTATCAGCTAAATAAAAATCCTGTGTAGCACAGTCTACTCTGACACACCTAGGACTACCATGATTCAGTGGTTAATTTCATTTCTTTTTCAAGTTGGACTTTATCTGGTGCAATAGATAAGAAAGAAACCAAAATAAGCAAAGAGACAAAAGTAGCACCCTCTTTATAAAATGAAAAAAAAAAAATGAGTGATAATTCTCTTTAAACATAAGTATTCCCAGAAAATCTTTAATGATTTCATAGAAAGTCAGCTATCCTTGTTGTGTCACATCATGCATTCACCTATTCAGCAGGTATTTATGTGAAGTCTGTTATACACCTACAAATTATTAGAGCTAAGAAACAACCCAAGAGATAAAGTCACTGTCTTGTTCAAAATCCCTAGCTCTGAGATGCAAATCAAGACAACTATGAGAAATCATCTTACCCCAGTAAGACTGACAAAATTTTACAGAACAGCAAGCAACAAATGCTGGTGAGGTTGTGTAGAAACTGGAACCCTTATTCACTGTTGGTGGAAGTATAAAATGGTGAAATCACTGTGGAAAGCGGCTATGGCGCTTGCATTTGACCCAGAAATTCCACTACTGGGAATATACCCTAAAGAGACGATAACCACCATATAAGCAGATATATATGCACACCCATGTTTATCTTGGCTTGTTCACAATAACAAGGAGTTGGAAACAGCCTAAGTGCCCATCAACAAATGAATGGATAGAGAGGCTATGGTTTATTCATATAATGGAATACTATCCTGCATTGAAAAACAAGGAACTCATGCAGTATTATTAAAAATGGGTGAGCCTGGAGGACATTATGCTGAGTGAAATATTTCAGTCACAAGGCCAAGCACTGCATAGTGCCACTGCTGTAGAATGGGATTGACATCAGGGTTGGGGTAAGAATCATAGGAGTCCAGAACGAAGATTATACAGTGGAGTATACTCGCGGTGGGGGTGGGGTGGGGGGGGAATTGCATACCAAGGAAGGAACTTTTACTTTTCAAAGAGGGAACTGAGGGTGGGGGTGGGACGGTGGGAGGGGAGAAAAGTGTAACAATGAATGAATGGAAATCCAAAATCTCTGTAAATGTTCATTGAAATAATAAAAAAAAAATATAAAGTCACTCTTTGTGGAGTTTATCATATAGAAAAAGTATTAAGCAACATTAAATAAATAAAACATACAACTTGTAATAGGCTTGCAATGTGCATATACATTTTAAATACACAGTCGTTAAACTACTGCTGCTGTCCTGCTGTGTATTCCAAAGATGAAGAAAAAGTCTCTGAAAAAAGATGAATCAAAATTTTCTCTACAATTTCCCTTGGTCTGTCTTTATCTCATTTAGAAGAAGTCTTTACTCTCACTGTGGTGGCATCAAAGGCAAAGTTTGATTTCCACATCTGAGTAGTATTTCACTTTAGTTCCACAGAGACAGTAAGGCATTCAGTGAATCCATCCTCCCCCTTCATTACCCAGAAAGTGCAGTTCAAAGTGGCTCCACAGCACCAAATTCACTGTCTTGGAGATGATATTGACTGAGAGTGAATCTATAGGACGGCTGCTTTGCAGGTTTCCAAGTGTGTTAATTCTTTTTTTAATATTTAAAGTTTTTTATTTCTTTATATTTCTTTTTATTAATTTAATTTAGTTTGTTTCTTTTTCATTTCAATGAACATCTACAGAGATTTTGGGGCGGGGCAGTTTTTCTTTTGCTTTTCAAGGAGAGGAGCAAATGGGGGAAGGGAGCGGGGGAGGGGTTTGTGCGGGGACAAGGGTGCAAGTATGTTAATTTTTGCAGAAGCTTAATATCACTTCTTGATGAGTGGGAACCACCAACCTTTTGGTTAGCAATTGAGAGCTTAACCTCTGTGTACCAAGTACTCTAAACTGAATAACCAGCAAGATTATCAGCATATTAAGCGTTGAAAGTAGAAATGGTAGAGATAGCAAACTCTCCTCTACTCTATTGTTGTTGTGTGCCATTCAGTAGGGAACAACCCACGGCTTATTCTACAGTTGGTTTTAAGAGGGGATAAATCATATGGGAAAAGACTGCTTATCCTTCTCCAATGGAGCATCTGGTGGAATCACACTGTGTGGCTTTGGGATTTCAGAGAAACTTCTTATGATGAGGCCAGATATATTTAAATATTTACAAATGTTGTTGTTGTGATTTGCTGTTGAGTTGCTTGCGACTAATTGTGACGTTATATACAACAGCCCTAAACCTTTCTCTATCCTGTGGCAATATCATTGTCTCCAACAAACCTACGCCATTACCCCAGTCACTGAATCAGTCCATCTCATCGAGGGTCTTCCCTTCCTGCACTGTCCCTCCACACTCTCAAGCATGACATTCCTCTCCAACAACTGGCCCCTCCTTGCAACATGTTCACAGTTTGTCAGATGAAGCTTCAGATCCTTGCCTCCAAAGAACACCTTGGTTTCACCATTTCCAGGACGAAACTTTTTGTTCTCTTACTCTTCTCCAACACCACAGTTCAAGTCACCTGTTCTCCTTCTATTACACCTAGTCACTGTCCAGCTTTCTGATGCATAGCAAGCAATTGCAAAGACATGACCTGTATCAGGCACTCCTTAATCTCCAGGCACCATTGCTCTTCAGTACTTTGGAAGGGTCCCTATAGCAGATTTTCCCAATGCAATTTGTCTTTTAATTTCCTGGCTGTGGGTACCAAGAGTGTTGATTGTGGAGACAAGCAAACTAAAACTGTTAACAATCTCAATCTCTTCACTGTCTATCATGGTGCAGGTAATCAGCCCAGTGGTGAGAATCATTGTTTTCTTGATATTGAACTTCAATTCACACTGAAGGCTGCAGTGGAGCAAGTGCTTCAAATTCTCTTCATTTTCAGCAAGCAGGGTTGTAGATGAGTCTTCTTCC